GGCTGCTCGAGCGCAGTCAGAGGCTACTCGGGTGCAGGCGGAAAGTGCTCGTGCTCAAGCGGAGGCTGCTCGAGCTGAGCTGGAGGCCACCCTGGCCAAAGAAAGGGCTGCCCAAGCCGGCCAGTGCAAACGCTACGCTGATGCCGCTGCTTTTCGAGCTCGGCAGATGATGTGGGGCACCACTACTGGGTAGCTCTTCCTCCGAGAGTACCGTGACCAAGTGGTGGCCGATTACACATGGTCACCACATTTTTTGAAGGAGGTGCAAGACTTTGGGGTGGACTGCTTCCAGTTTGCCCTTCAGAAGGCTGGCGAGCAGATTGCCGAGGACGACTTCAAGCAGCTCGACCCTGGGGTCATCTGGGAGGCCTTGCCCAAGGTCCCTACTAGTTTCCAAGTGATCCCAGCTTACCGCTCGAGCATGAGTGTTGGCCAGGGCTGCTCGAGAGGACTCTAGCTCGATCGGACACTTTAAAGAAGACATATGCTCTGCCTGATGACCTCACTCCTCCTGCTTCGATGTTGTCTGTGCTGGCCGAGTCTATCCGTCAACGCCCCCTCAATGAAGCTTGCGACTCGACCTCGGGGACCAGCCACCAGCCTGATCCAAATGCCAGTCAAAGCAATGGAAACTCGACTGCTGCTCCTCCTCCTTAGATGTAGTTTACATTTTCCATTTTATCTGTTTTGGATTCCGATTATGTATTCCAACGAACTATGTAATATTCGTGAAATGACAACATTTTGTTTTTGACTTGTCTTGATCTTCAATAGTGTTTGTTGGTAATCTTGGCTTGATATCTTCATTATAACTCCTCGCGACCGCTTGGGTAACTTGTTCTAATTGCTCACATATATATACATGCCCTGGGGGCGGTCGAAGCATTTGACCGTCCAACCTCATGGCTTTAAACATGACAGGTTTTAAACTATCAAACACATGCCCTTCCTGGAGGCGGTCGAAGCATTTGACCGTCCAGCCTGATGGCCTTAAACATGACGGGTTTTACACTTTCAAACACATGCCCACCCCTGGAGATGGTCGATGAATGCGACCACCCAGCCTCATGGCCTTAAACATGACAGGTTTTATATTTTCAAACACATGCCCACCCCTGGAGGTGGTCGACGCATGCGACCGCCCAGCCTCATGGCCTTAAACATGGCGGGTTTTATACTTTTAAACACATGCCCACCCCTGGAGGTGGTCAATGTATGCGATCGCCCAGCCTCATGGCCTTTAACATGACGGGTTTCATACTTTTAAACACATTCCCACCCGTAGAGGTGGTCGATGCATGCGACCGTCCAGCCTGATGGCCTTAAACATGACGGGTTTTTTTCTCTCTTGGACTTCTTTTGTGTGGTTGGAGATTTGTGCCGAGTCTTGGGACTGTGCAAATCCATGTGCTCTTTTCCCCACGTTTCTTCACCTGATTATACGGTCTTCATGGTAGGTGTTGGTCTTCACACTTGCCCACCCCGAGGAATGTTCTAAACAGGAGATCTTTCGACCAACCTGCCCACCGCAAGGAATGTTCTAAACAAGAGACCACCCAACCCGAGGGCCTTATTCCTGGTCGATTTTGGTCTTCACACTTGCCCACCCCGAGGAATGTTCTAAACAGGAGATCTTTCGACCAACCAGCCCACCCCAAGGAATGTTCTAAACAAGCGACCACCCAGCCCGAGGGCCTTATTCCTAGTGGATTTTGGTCTTCACACTTGCCCACCCCGAGGAATGTTCTAAACAGGAGATCTTTCGACCAACCTGCCCACCCCAAGGAATGTTCTAAACAAGCGACCACCAAGATTGAGGGCCTTATTCCTGGTGGATTTTGGTCTTCACACTTGCCCACCCCGTGGAATGTTCTAAACAGGAGATCTTTCGACCAACCTGTCCACCCCAAGGAATGTTCTAAACAAGCGACCACCCAGCCCGAGGGCCTTATTCCTGGTGGATTTTGGTCTTCACACTTGCCCACCCCGAGGAATGTTCTAAACAGGAGATCTTTCGACCAACCTGCCCACTCCAAGGAATGTTCTAAACAAGCGATTCTCAAGTCAAACCATACCATACATATCATGTCATTCAAATCATACCAACATTCCAGGCATAAAAAGATGTACAATAAAGCGAATAGAATCAGAAAAATCATTGAACTTCATTGTCTGGTGAGCAAACTTCGCAATTTACATTTTCAGTTGAATTTCTCAGCTTCCTTTTCAAAAGAAATAAAAATTTTCACACATAATATTTTTTCAAATTAGCTATGTTCCATGACCTGGCGAGTGATTGGCCTTCAGCATCCTTCAGCGAGTACGCTCCCCCTGCGTGCACTCGCTCGACCAAGTATGGTCCTTCCCAGTTTGGCTCCAGCTTCCCCACATGTTTGAGCATGTCGACACGCTTCCAGACCAGGTCTCCCACTTGGAGCTTGCGAATTTTCACTCTTTTGTCGTGGGCGACTCGCATCCTCTGCTTGTATGCTTCCACCCTGATTGCCGCTCTCCCACGCAGCTCCTCGATTGTATCTAAGGCCACCATCATCAGATCCTCGTTCTGTTCAGCATTATACGTGCTCGACCTTTGGGAAGATAACTCGATCTCGACCGGTAGCAATGCTTCCATCCCATAAGCTAAACTGAACGGTGTTTCTCCTGTGGTCGACCTTGGAGTTGTGCGATACGCCCAGAGTACGGAACTCAGCTCATCGACCCATGCTCCCGAGGCTTTCTCCAACTTTGTCTTCAGCCCATTCAGTATAATTCGGTTGGTTACCTCGACCTGGCCGTTAGCTTGCGGATGGGCCACAGAGGCAAAGTGTTGCTCGATTTTCATATTTTCACACCATGCTCGAATCCGATTCCCATTGAACTGAGTGCCGTTATCGGAAATCAACACTTTGGGTACACCAAAACGGCAGCAAATGTTATTGTATATGAATTTAATTACTTTCTCTTCTGTAATCTTTGCTAAGGGCTCGACCTCCACCCACTTCGTGAAGTAATCGACCGCCACTATTAAGAACTTCCTGTGCCCGGTGCCCTGAGGCATCGGCCCCACCAGGTCGATACCCCACTGGGCGAATGGTATAGGAGCACTCATCGTTGTCATGGCTTCAGCCGGTTGGTGGATAAGGGGGCCGTGCTTTTGTCATTGCAGGCACTTCTTGACCATCGTCTTCGCATCTTCTCTCATCGTTGGCCAAAAATATCCTGCCCTCAAAATTTTCGCGACCAAGGCTCCAGACTTACTATGGTCACTGCAACACCCTTCATGTATTTCTCTTAGCACGTATCGACCTTCTTCCTTAGTGACACAACGCAAATGTGGTCCTCCATATGATCGTTTGTAAAGAATGCCTCCATGCTCGAAAAACCTCCTGACCACCTTTATCGCTCCTCCCTTCAGCTCCTCCAAGATCGGGGCCCTCCAATCCTCCACCTCTTCGATCTCCGCCACTTCTGCTTCGATCACACTCTTTTCAAGATGCAACAGAGTGACACTTCTACTTTTGTAGTCAACCAAGCTCTGAACAATCTTTGACAATAGGTCTGCTCGACCATTTTCTCCTCGAGGAATTTGTATTAGTTCGAAAGAATCAAACTCTTCTCTCACCTTCTTCATCTCATCCACATATTTCTGAATCCGATCCTCCTTGACTTCGAACCCTTCTTGAAACTGCCTGACCACCAGTTGAGAATCGGAATGCACTTGCAATTTTCGAGCTCCTCCCGCTTTGGCTAGATTCAAGCCCTTAATCACTGCCTCGTACTCAGCTTCGTTATTGGATACCTTGAATCCCACTTTGGCCGCAAACTCCAAGTAATCGCCTTTGGGGGAGACAAGGACAATTCCCAGTCCTGCTCCGCTTCGGGCCACAGATCCATCCACAAACAACTGCCATAACCCCTCCAACTCCTCCTCAGCTTTCGTGCCTTCCTGAATAAAATCAGCCAACACCTGTGCTTTTATAGCCCTCCTTGGCTCGTATATCACAGAATACTCACTCAACTCGACCGCCCATTTCACCAATCGACCAGAAACTGATGCCCTACCAAGTGTTTCTCCTAGCGGCATATTCGTTCGCACCCTCACCTTATGGTTCAAGAAATAAGGTCTTAAACTTTCGAGCAGTTACAACCACAGCTAAAGCGCACTTCTCGATCTCCGAATATCTTGTCTCGGCCCCCTGCATCACTCTACTTACATAGTAGATAGGAGATTGCGCTATTCCTTCTTCACGTAACAACACCGAACTCACGGCCCTCTCTCCAATAGAAATATATAGCACCAGCTCCTCGCCCTGCATGGGTTTAGCCAATAATGGAAGGTTGGCTAGCACCCCTCGTAGCTCCTCGAATGCCTTCTGTGCCTCCTCTGTCCATTGGAATTTCGCGCTCTTCTTTAACGTTTTGAATAATGGGCCGCTCCTCTCAGCCACCTTCGATATGAAACGACTCAGCCCCGCAATTTGACCAGCTAAGATTTGCACTTCTTTAACATTCGTCGGCGGTTTCATCTCCATCACAGCTCTAACCTTCTCCGGATTGACTTCAATACCTCTCTTGGTCACCAAGTAACCCAAGAACTTTCCCAACCTTACCCCAAAAGAGCATTTGGTGGGGTTCAGCTTCATCCCATACCTTCACAATGTTAGGAACGTTTCTTTCAAATCTCACACGTGATCCAACTCCTCCTTACTTTTCACCAACATGTCATTCACGTACACCTCCATGTTCCTCCCCAGTTGTTCCTTAAAGATTTTATCGACCAGCC